TTTTTTTTTATGTTTACATCTGTATTTTAAAAAAAAAAATACAACTAGTAAATTTGCACACAGTAATAATACAATCACATGAAAAGGCTTGTTGAGAAACTACCCATTGGTAGCACTCTAATAATATGTTTATATTAGGAGATCCCGGGACCATCTTCTTTTCAGACGCCTCGGAGGGCTATCAGGAATTGAATAGGAAGCAAGGTTAGAAACAAGAGGGTTGGGATGGTTAGGAAGTTTATTATGGAAGGGTAGATATCTGGGTTGGGCCAAATCTGAAACGTAAGGAACATTAAGGTCATTGTGGATGATTTTATTTGTAACAAAGTAAGGAGCATTGAGGATTTTACGAAGGGTTTTGGACTGTAAGGATTGGATACGAGAGGAATTAGAACATTTGGTGGAGCCCCATAGCTCAACTCCATAAGTCCAAATAATTTTATTAAAGTTCAATCCAGTAACATCAAGCCTCAAATAAAGCAACATCTAATAATTTTCTTCCAAATTAAATGTGGCTTCAAAACACAAAATGTTTTTATCTGATAATTAATGAACTTTTTAGTTCATGTTTTATGTTATTTTTAAAAAAAATGTGTTTATTTTTAAAATATTTCTATTAAAAAAAAATGATAATCTTACGTTGTTATAATGTCCATCTTCAGTACAAAAAAATAAATTAAAAATACAAACAAGTGAATTTGGAAATGATTTTTTTCAACTCACCATGAGAATGGAGATCATCAACTCCCCTTCTCCAAAAAAAAAAAAATATTTCTGTAAGTTGAGATGTGGCGTCGAATCAGCTGTCGAAATTCACGCGTGTTTTTTTTCGTCCGCCAATGGACTTTTACAAATGTCATAAAAAGTTCTTTTCCGACGGTAGTTCATTCTATCATCTTCAACTTAAGCCTTAATAGAGCTGTTTATGTTCAATAGTTTCTAAGGAATGGTCATACAAAAAGAACGTCATTTCATTTTATAAACTGTTTTTCTAAAATTATTGAACACAAAGAGCTCTATTATAGTTTAAATTGACGATGTGTCATAAAAATGAAAACACAATGTATTATCGCAAAAAAAAAAAAATAAATAAAAGACTAGCAGAGAACTGACTCAGAAAATAGCCGATGACACTAGAATCCAAGTTTCGTCCTCCTTGATCAGAAGGAAACTCGTGCCATTTGACCTTAAAGGTTCTGTTGCTAGAAGAAAATTATTTTTCCAATCTCCAAATAAGCGAAATCGACTTAACTTTGCCAATGGTTACGTAAGTTAAACGGAAGAAGGATGGAACAAATGTTTATAAAAAAAAACAACAAAATTTGGAATGTTTGGTTCCGGAAGGAGGCAGTAAATTAGAGAAGATCTGAAGTTGAATTTTCGGATGAATTTTTACAAACAGCAGTAAAATACGAAGGTGGCTTCTTAATAGTGTCGAGATCTGCAGTAGAATACATCTTGTGAATAGATGGGAAACGGTACAGTAGCATTTTTACATACCATGCAATACGACCTGGTTTGGGTTCAAGTTGATTGGAAAATTATTTTTTTTGTATATTTTGAAAACTGGGGAGAGAAGGGGGAACTCAGTCTAGCAAGTGGGCCTAATGGTCCTCTATTTTGCAAAAAAAAAAGTAATTTTAAATCGAAAACAAAAACAAAATATGCAATATTAAATTAAATTGCAAAAAATAGCCAACTCCAATATTAGAACGATTTTCATTGATATATTCGGGATTTTAGAGTTTATATACCGGTTTTTGATGTTAAAAAAATGAGTAAAGATTGAAGTGGATAATGAAGTAGTGAAATTTAAACAATAATGTAGCATTATTCAGAGGATAAGAAAAGTCAACATAAAGAATTGATCTCTAGGCTTCCTGTAAATTGATAATAATGCCAATTTAAATATATAATACACCTACAATGTCTGCAAGAATAAGTCAGTGTATAATTAAGAATATAAAACTATTAACTAATATAAAAATTGAAATATTTAAAAACAAATGGTTTGTTCAAAAACTTTTTCACAAAGTTCCTAAAACTTCTTCCATTAAATTATTTAATAACATGTGACCTAATAGTATTTAAACATATGTTAATTTAATAGGCTTTGAAGTTTCAAAATGAACATACGGTAAATAATGAATCGCACAGAGGTATCAGTATTTCCAATTTAATTAATAGTGACAGAAGTGGAACTAAAGACCTCTCATTGTTTGCAGAGTTGTGAGGTTTCAGGTTTTGGTCAACAGGATAGAATTTATCTCAAAGGAAACTTAATACTTTAATTCGAAGGAAAATGGAAAGGAAAATCGATTGCGTTTCTAAGGACTTAGACAAACTATGTAATATATAAAATTACACGTTATTTCATAATAATTTTAACTAACTAAAACGCTGCATATCACCATATAATTAAGGAAGGAGATGGTCCGAAGTGATGGTCATAAATTGACTAAATAGTGACAAAACTATTTTATTAAATATTTTGGATTGAATAGTTTAGATACAGTAATATTCTTGATTTTGTTTCACTTTTAATTTTTTTTTTTTTGGTATCCTCCCCTTCCTCGCCGTCAAGGCTATACGGTGTTTTCCCTGTCCAGGGGGTGTGGGCGGGGATTTAAAAGACGCCTTGGCACCGGGACGCGAACTCATGACTATTTTTGTATCACTTATCATATATCAGATTACCGGGGAACGGTGGTGCTGTGCACAACGTGTTAGCCCATTCGGCCCATCCGCCCACCTGTTTCACTTTTACTACTTACCCCCTCATCATTCCCCAACCAGGTCAGCAAATTTCCCCAAGGGTGCTTAAACAGATTTTCCAGTTCTAAGCGAAATTCCTTGCTGAACACATCTGTATGTCTCTATTTTTATTCTTTTAATTTTATTTATTTATTCTTCTTCTTTCTTTTTTCTTTTCTTTCTTCACATACCTTTATGTCCATTATTTCATATTATATCTTTTTCCTTTTTTTCCAATCCCTCCTGTAAATCTGTAGGAGTATATTCACAATTGCATATATTATATTATATATTCTATTACAACAATCGTTACCATCTATTTACTTCAGTTTAGGATCTGTTACTTAGCTTCCTCTGTTCATATAGGTTATTGTTCTTAATATTTCAATGTATTTACTGTTAATAATTTTTATCTAAATATTATGTAACTTCCACAATGCTTTATATCTTTTTGTGTCTTGTCTGTTTTAGCCCTGAAGAAGACCTGAAAGTCGGGTTGAAACGTTGGCATTTAATAAAATATTTAGTATATTTATGGCCGACACTCTGGATCATCTCCTTCCTTAATAATACAACTGTCAACTATTAAGTATTCAATACCATATTATGTTTTATAATTTTCAAATTATTATAGTTACAAAATACCGAAGGTTAAACCCTCATACGGTTTTAATAGGTTTATGATAGCTAAAGTATGTGATATATAATTTAGATTGAAATATATTTGATAAAAATCTAACAAAAACTGCGTCATGTTTTTAATATAACTCCTGTTACAGAGGTCAGAAATGTTTAGTAAGCGTTGCCCCTGCAATCTTGATAAACCGAAGAATACGAGTTCAGATTCTGGTGCTCGTTGGACTATGGAATTCTGGTATCAATCCCCCGCCCCCTACTCTGGCCCGAGAAAAAACCCTAATGATGGAAGGTGAGGAAGGGTAGTAGTTGTGTGAAGGATAGCTATATGATTTAAGATGTATCACTGGGGTGATTTCTCATCAGATAGATCGGTGACAGTTGTCCTTTATCGGAATTCCATTAACAGTAGTATCATATGATCTTGTCCCAAACTATAAAACTGGAGTAACACTTATGATGCAGTACTGTTGTTTGGTTTTATACTTGTTCATGTAAAATTGAAGTTTATACAATGTTAGCAGTACTAATCTCTGAATAACTTAAAGATCAGTTATTGTTTATAAATTATAGAAATGGCGAATCAAAAGTTTTTAAAACGTGTATTGTATGATATACTATATATATTATACGGTAATGTAGATCCATTTTACGGCTCTTAGAAGGGATGGAGTTTGATGAGTGCGAAATCAAACGAACCATAATTTCATGAGGTATAAACAAATTTTAATTTAAAAAAAATATAAAAATTATTTTTACAATAAGTTGGGAGGTTTCAAAAGTCAGATGGTTTGAAAATTCGACAGATTGTGACAGGATAAATATTGTTTCAAAGATTTTGAAGCATACATTAAAGAGTAATTCTGCATGCAATGCTACAAAACACTACATACAGCATTACTCCTGAGTGAATCGAAAGAAACTATTGTACACTGAATTCTGTGTTTTTAAGCACTAAAATCTATCATTTTAAAGATAAACCACAATTGTTACCGAAAGCATCATACATGATATGGTTGCTATAGGATACTTATAAACATGTTTTCATTAATATATTAATATTTATGTCTTCAAAGAACTTAAAATTTATTGAAAAGGATATAAAATAAATAATGGATAATAACAGTATAACCTTTGCCACTTTGGATTATATAAAAAGAAATTTTTTGATATTAAAGTGAGCTTTATCATGAGGGTATATTAGTATAACCTTATTGTGAGTAATAATATTTCAAATCAATATTATCATGAATGGTGTATTATATTAATAAAAAACTTTTATTTATTTTTTTTTTCTGTTGTCACTACAGACCTTGTGGATTTTTTTCTGCTTAACCAGACTTCGGGAACTCTGCCTGCATCTATTGCATATATCAGCCAGGCATCTGTCAGGTTATGTAATGAATTTTTTTTTTGGATTAAAGTTATTAGCAAAAGGTACAATATTCCAATCTGAAGTACCAAGAGCTAAGTTGTAAGACACAGAGGTTCGCTGCCTGTGAATTTCAGGATGAAGACATTGGACTTGAAGGAATCGATCTCGAGCCGCAGTAGTCTGAGTACTCGGGTAACGATTGCACTTATTTTATTTTTATTTATAAATTATTTTATGTATAATAATACATTTTTTATAGTATCAAAGGCAGATGTTTTAATTACAGAACTTGTATTATTTAAGTTATTTATTAAACAAGTGTAGAGAAAGTGATTTTATTTTGATTGAATTTGTGAATGAAGAAAGGAACAATGTTGTTTTAACGACTGTGAAGACAGATCGATAGATCGACATGAAGGGTGAGGTATTCCCGAAGGGGGGGAATGTCGAAATAGAACAGGTCCAGTTCCCAGTGTTCGGGTACGTGTACCTGGTCCTCACGGTGCTGATACAGTTCGTCTGGGGCGGCATGAAGGCAGCCAAGATCCTCTTATTGGTGGATGAACTTCAGTTCAGCGAGAACGAAGCGGTTATCATCATCCACTTGCAGGCTTCGCTGATGGACTTGGTAATGTGCGTCGGTAACATCTTAGCGAACCTCTACTGCGGTCCGTACTTCACCTGCGTCTTACAGGATCTCTTAAAGGCACTCTTCACCTGCCCGGTGTGCACGCTATCGACGATGGGAATCATGGATCTCAGTAGCCGGAGGTACTTGTATGTATCTGGACAGGTCCTGGGAATCTTCACAGCCTTCGGAAACAGTTGCGTGGCTACTTTCCTCGCTAATCAGTTCGACACGGATAACTACGTCAAGTTCAACAGGGCTATGCTCGTCTTGACCTTGGTCTGCTCGGCGATAGGTATATTCACCATACCACATTTGATCCAATATTATCAATGCTTTTGGACGGAAACTTGTTACTCAATGGTGTGGATATGCGAGTGGGCCTTGTGTATAACCACATTATTGGTTTTTTTGATTTTATATAAGAAATTGCAACATAAAAGGCCTAAATACAGTATAAATTACATGCTGTTGAAACTTACACGCGATGCGTCTAAAAAGAAGCAACGAGAGGCGAAATCGGGAACGGTGCGTGATAGACCACTATTGGAGTATTCAGATCTGTACTCGCCCCAGTTCAGGAGGGACGCTCAAAAGATCCTGTCCATGTGGACTTTTTATTTACCATTGGCTGGTTACTGGGCCCTCCATTCCCAACAGGCGACTACTTGGATCCTTCAGGCCAAGAGGTTAGACGGGAATCTCTTTGGCTGGTCCACCGTCTTGCCGAACGAGCTGTGGGGTCTGATACCGCTTACAGGAATAGTAGTGCGTATGATGGTTCAAACGTTTAAGGAAGACACCAAGTACCCCCTGAGGATGACTGTGGTATCTCAGCTGATAATGGGCATTGCCTTCCTGTTAGCCGCCATATTGGAAAAATACATCATGGACGCAGAGGATTATAAAGTGCACATGGTCTGGGCACTCCCCCAGCTCCTCCTAGTCTCCATCTCGGATATCATCCTCGTTTCATCGTACCGCAAATTCATAATTCGGGAAGTTCCCCCAAATTTCCGAGGAGTCACCCAGACTCTTTTCGTCTTGTCAAGGTGCCTCGGCAACGCCATCGTCGTTCTCGTAAACTTAATGGAGATGCATACAGGATTTCCTAATCGTCTGGGACAATTCATCATCTATGCCAGCGTCCTAAACGTATTTCTAATCATGTTTACAGTGCTCAACAGAAAATTTGAACGCCTCCTCCGGAGGGAAAGAGATTCTATAATCAGGTCGTCCACAAGTAACTAACTTGAGTCATATTACACATTAAACTTCATACTTTGACCGAATTTGTGGAGATACAATGAACGATTTAGACATGAATATAGTGACTACCAGCATCGAGCGTTGCTGTCACTTGATGGTTACATTGAAAAATGAATTATGATGAAATAGTAAAGGAATATCTCTTGTACATATGATTGAATTATTTAATATAATAAAGTTTCATACCAAACTAACTTTATTTTACATTTCCAAGTAAAAATAAATATTACATATTTTTTTATAATTATTTATTAACTAACTTTTGTCTATTAGGATCAGTATTACATCCTCAACATTTATATTTGTTAAAAATCACATACATTTCAGCCATTATATGAATTTTCATTTGGGAATTAAATCTAGTGAGTGGAATTCGAAAAAAATCGGTATTCGATTATCTATGTATTGATCCTCAAAATCCTTGAAAGTTTTATCTAATCAAATTCTTGACCGACATAAGTTTACTTCCTACTACATTTCACAACCATTTTATTCTTAAAAATTAGTTAACAATTTATTTAAACTAGTCTTAGTCATAATATTCGATAGTGTACTATATTAATTATTGAAAATTTGAGGAAAAACTAAATGGATTTGCATGTTATTACATTTTCTTTTCTACAGTTATACAGGATGTTTCGTAATTGCAGGGCACTATTTTAGGTATTTGTTAACTAACACAAAATAAACAAAAAAGTTCATAACTTCCAATTGGTAACAATTGAGTATATTTCTATTATCAACGTTACATGTTAACAAGTTAGTTGACGTTTCGGGATATTTACTCCCATCTTCGGAACTTCAACCCCAATAATCTTGTGGACGCAATGCTTAAAATTAATAATAATGTGCTCCATCGTCAAATTTCTAATTCATGTTATAAAATGTATCATCTAGAGCAACATCCTGCTTTTGACCAATAATTGGGTGTCTGATAGGCAAAAGTTATTATTGCCAAATAACTACAAATAAATAAACAACTTCCCAGAAAAAATAAAAAAGTTCATATTAATATATATAGCAAACTCATTTATTAAACAAATATCAAAGGTTAATGATTTATTTTTTATTTACTACAATAAGACTGACTGAACAAAGTTTAACGTGTTCAATACTAAATAACAGGTTTTAATCACCTGATAAACAAATGAGCAATGGCAATCTATGGTTTATTCTGCGGCAGTTGGTACGCAAAAAGAGCTAAGAAATTGGATCTTGGAAGCCGCAGTAACTATCAAGCACGTGCATCATTCGTTGCATTCAACAAAACGGAGGCCCCCTTTGAACAGTTACTCTAAATGTTGTAATAATAATAAATAAATCTTTAACCTTTGATATATGTTTAATAAATGAGTTTAAGATATAAGTTAATATGTACTTTTTTTGTTTATTTTGTGAACAAATACCTAAAATAGTGGCGTGCAATTACGAAACATTCTGGATATATACGTACATATACCTTTATATGTATTTACAAATACAGCACGGTTTGTGTATTTTTTTATTTATATGAAAATGAAATTCTAAATCCATCGATACTTATTTTAACTAAAAAATATTTGAACCCATTCCTTCGGTCGCTACGAATTGTTTCATTTTAACATTGTACTCATGGGCTACTATAAACTACTATGGACTGTAGGCATATTAGTTATTAAACTGTTATTTTCTAATTTATTAGTTATTTATTTGTAAAGTTTACTAAAATTAAATGGATAAATCAGTATTACGAGAATATAATAGGCGACTACCGACCTGGATTCAGAAAAGGGAGAAGTACGCTAGACCAGATCTTCTTCCTAAAACAAGTACTAGAAAAACAATGGAAAGTAGCTCAGGACGTCCACGCACTATTTATCGATTTCAAAGCAGCCTATGATTCTGTGGACAGGAAAATCGTGACTGAACTAGGAATTCCCGCTAAAACTCACATTTACTGGTTGTCATTACCATTATTACAGGTGTGAATAAAAAAAAAATAAACCAAAAAAAAAATACAAGGGGAAGTATCTGAAGCCTTCAAAGTTCGAACGGGCTTATGGCAGGGAGATGGACTATCACCGATGTAGTTAAAAACTTACCACTGGAGAAGGTAATAAGAGCAACATCACAGGAATCATATCGATAGAATGGTCAACATCGGAATGAAGCATAAAATCCTTGGATATGCAGATGATATAGCTGTCTTTGGAATTAATCAAGAAGATATTGAGAAACTGGCTACAACACTGATAAGAGAGATAGAGCAGCTCGGCCTATAAGTAAATGAAGACAAAACAAAATATATGATAATAAGATGAAAATCCCACCGCATTAACAGGATCTGCGTAGAAGGAAAATCATTCCCGAGAGTAGAAAAATCCAAATACTTCGGCTCCACAATAACCTCAATCAACGACCAACGGGTAGAAATAGGCCAGCGAATAACTTGCGCAAAACAGAACTTTCCTCTCTCTCTCTCAAAAGTATTGAAATCCCGAAAATCTCAAACTAAGGGTGTACAATGCTATGATAAAGCTCTAATATATGGCTGTGAGACCTGGACACCAACCAGCAGCCTAGAAAAAAGTGTTGAAAGATTTGAGAGGAAAATTCTCCGCACGATAATCGGAGCGATTTGGGATCAGAGTACTAATACATGGATAAGAAAGATCAATAAAGAACTGCTTACAGAAACTGTCAATTAATATCCCATGATATGAAGTGAAATAAAATCCCATGAAGGCACGGAGGTTAAGATGGGCGGGTCATGTAGCTCGTAGCAATCCGTTTGGAAGCCTCTAGGTAACAATGAATGCCTCAATAGAAGGCAAAATACCACGTGGAAGGCCAAAATGCAGATGCATAGATATAATCAACAAATATGCAATAGAGCTACGTGCAGATAAATGGAAAGAAATAGCCCAAGACAGGCAGAGGTGGAGCAGGCTTGTTAAGGTGGCAACAGATCTGATTGGTCTGTAATGCCAACAGAAAAAAAAAATGAAGTTAATAAATTTTCATTGCCTGCCATGGATAGGCCAAAAGTTGTCACACTAATTGTAAGTGGATAATGTTGGGATTTCACAAAGCGAAAACTCATCAAATTATTTAATAATTTAATATTCTAAAGCAGACTCTACACGGTAATTCATGAATGAACATCACAAGAAGTGCCAAGATTGCCCGCTATCGCTTTGATCATGAAGACCCTTACACGTTCAATCATTACTGATCATTACTTATGTGAATTTTCCACTTTTTTTTCTCTCCAATTTATTGCCTACTTGACTATTTAAATAAAAAATAGTTGAAAATGGTTAATAATAATAAAGACTAGGGATATAAACAACTATTTACTTTTATGAAATTATTTACTTAATAACGAGACCTAGGTAAACTAACCTATCTAGTAGTAAGGTTAGTCTCTCCACTACTTTAACCTCTGTCCCGCCTCCACTTCTCGTGAATGAACCTTTGATTTCCGGATGTTCGGAAATCCGCAGCGCACCACCATCAGTACTTCAATCACTACCTTACACGATAATTAGGATCGTCATTAGTGAAATTCCGATTGACCGTGTAGGGTCCCCTTAAAAGATTACATGGCGATTTTGGGAATACACGGTCTTTGATACCTAATTATTTAAATACAATATCAGATCTAGAATTATTAAACTACAGTAAATGAATTTAAGGTTATAAACATATGCTTTATACATCCATGAAATATTTTTGTATTTCAATTCTTCTTTCACACAAGTACAATGAAATAGTATTTTAAACAATTTCATTGTTCTGATTCGGTGGACTTTAAATACTTTTTTTTCAAACTTAAAAAATATTACGAAGTTTACATTTAGTAAGAAAATATCATTTCCTTCGAAACATGTGATTCATATTAAATAATGTTAGTTTTCAGAAATCATTATTTATATTTTATTCGTTTCTCTCCGTTTCCTTCCACAACTTTATTAATTTGATATTACTATTTCTAATATTCTCCGCTTTTCTACGATATATTATAAGTATACCTTCTGACTATTATTTCCGGAGATTCATTTTCCAGCTGGATAAGCATTTTTCTTCTTTTTTTTCCTTTGTTCAATTATCAATTTCTTTCAAAAGTTATATTTAGCCTTTTTCTCATAATTCCTAACAATGAGAGACAATTAATTTTTTTTTAAATAAACCGAATTAAAGGTACTTCAGAGGGCGGCATATATGAAACTTGAACATTTAAGCCCTGTAAAGTGACATCAATGGTGGCTAAGACCTAACTGATATTAAAAAAAAAAACTTAATAACACACTGATTTACCGAATCAAAATCGTTAGAGCCGTTTTCGAGGAAAATGTAGAAATGTGTAATATCGATTATATAAAGTGCCACTTCCGGTTGGCCGATTTTGACGAAAAGTTGCTGTAACATCTGATGTATATACAAACCTTAAATATGCATTTTCACTTTCATTTAAATTTTCGTTTTTGAGCAAGGTTGGTCACATACATACACAAACACACAGACCATTTTGCGGGACATGGTTATTAGGACTCAAAGAGACCTTAAAACATGTATTTCCGTTGAAAACTCAGATTCTAAAATTTTCACGACCGCAATACTTTCCTTTACTATATATTTCATATATAGGTAAGTTAAAGTAAATAAGAAATCCACAAAAATATCTTATCGAACATGATTCTTATCCATATAAATTATTTGTTTATGAAATTGAAATATTTTTGAAACATCTGATTAAAAACATTACAAAATGTGTTTACTTTTTGAATCATTCAGAAATTTATTTTTACTACCCTTTGTAACTTTTTTTTTCAGTATAGTTTCGTTGAAAAGAATGTTATCTAGATAACTTTTAAGGATTTCAAAAGAGAAGACTTCAGCCAACTTTCTTTGACATCGGTACATCTGTTCAGTCTTACGTCAATTGAAGCAATCGAAATAGTTGTTTATATTTCTTAGTATATTACAAGTGAACAAAACTAAATTTATTCAGATTAATATTAGCAATCATGTTTTATATAATTTTCCTCTACATTTGATATAATTATTTGGATAAATAAACGATTGTGCAATCATTTGCAGCATTTTTTTATAAATAAGTTTTATCTATTTAAATTGATAAAATATACTGCTATGATAAATGTTTATCTAAAGCATCATCTCGAATAGGGGCAATATTTATATTCTTATCGTGTTTATTATCTATTCATGACT